CCCCCCCCCCCCCCCTCTCTCTCTCTGTCTTTAAGTACTAATAATTCTAATGCTATCTTGTTCTTTATAACTAGAAACCTCTCCACGACAGTACACTATTGGAATCTCCTTTTGCAGAATAAATCATAAATATATGTAATCATCGGATGAAAACAAGTATTGGTTAAACTTGAGACCAGTAAGAGTCGAAACTATGACACTCGAATTTATGGTTCATCCCAACCTAACCCCACACTATTATTGTGGCCTTTCTGTGTTAGAGAAGACAAACATGAGAACATTGAGTAGTCTACTAAATGAAAACGAGTGAGAGAGAGAGAGAGAGAGAGAGAGAGAGAGAGAGAGAGAGGACGGTGGAACTAATACATGGGAGCAATAGCTATGAAGTTTTTTTATTTTTTTGGTGGTGGTTATAAAAAAAACTAGAATATCCTTGCGCCATCATGGCCAAAGATTTGAGCTTTTCTGCCTGTCCTCTTTTTGATGGGATACAAATTTGAACGAAAAACAGAATCTTTGACAAATTTTTAACTTCCGGTTTTTGTAAACACGACATTGAATATAAAAGTACAGTAATAACTCAAATCGTTTAGAGTTATGAACCAAACTTGAATTCTCGATTGAATAACCCATGAAAGTTTTTTCATCCGAGCTTGATAAATTATAGCTTTTTGTTTTTACTTTTTTTTTCAATCCTGCTTTTTTGGTGTTATTATGGTGAATTAGAGGTAAAAGATTTGTGACTTTGGGCTTCAATTTATATCAAGTAAAGAATATTAGAAATTAATTTTCATTGGTAAAAAAGATGCAAAAGAATCGCACACAAAAATACATGGAATTATTTGAAAATTTTGAAACGAAAAAAAAATCATGAAGTTATATAAATTTGATTTAATTTGCTGACTTAATGATGTGGTTTCATTGGAACCGTTGGATAAATATCAAGTTTCAATATTTGATGGAGCCCGCGGTCAATTCAAAAGTCATATTAAATTAAGTCAACAAACTAGGTTAATAAATTAAAACTCAATAGCATTGCTTTATATTATTTAGTTTACAAACAAGTGTAAAAAAATTACAATAGTACCATTTTTCCATCTTCACATGGCCTAAATTTTGGATACCTAACAGTTTAGACCGAATGTTCAGGACTATCGAACTATGCAAGAAGAGATTTTAGGTTTCGATACTTCCCACACCTCCTAAGGATCAGTTATCCTTATTTCTCAAGAAACATGTTATTCGATTAGCTCAAATTACGGCGGCTGGCTAACCAAAAAGAAAATCGATCTGAATTTCAAAAGCTATATGCAACTTGGTACCTTATGTCAGCTACCAAAATTCATCCAAGATGGAGCGCACCACTACATAGTAGTCTTAATTAGGTTATCTGCGTAAGCCTATCTGGTCTCCAATCTCAATTAGGTCACTAACCAAAGCATGAACCCATCTTGTGTTTGTGCAGCCCCTCTTTTTGCTCATCAAAGCACCTTTTAACCCAACTCAAATCAACAAACTTTTATTCTATTTATTTTTATAATCGATTATATGAATATTGACCCGCCATTATATGAACCATGATACTTC